GGGGGGGGGGGGGGGGGGGGGGGCGGAGAGCGGCGGCCAGGCGCGGGGCGCGTGCGCTTGACCCGCCTACCAACGAATGGCGTGCCACTCTCTGTGGCCGGCCGGAAGAAGTGGGGCCTCATACCGGGTCCCGTCGCCCCTGGGAGCGACGCCCCGGGCCAGGAGCGGAGGGTATCGCGTGCGCATTGTTATTTATTCGCCGGGACACATTCACACAGCCAGGACCGTTGCTGGAACTCGGGCCGCGCCCGGGGGGCGGGCGAGAGGGGGCACGTATGCTGGCAACGCGTCTAAAAATATACACGAGCCATTATTTTGTGGAGATTTTACACTCCACTCCGCGGGAGACAGGCAGGGGGACAGGCAGCCAGGCCGGCCATTCATCTTGCCGGCCCTTGCTCTTCGGCCTCGCTTTTCGCCGCGTATGTGTGCGGATGAGTCAGTTTCTTCGGCATGTTCTCAAACGCGTGTAACATGCGCCTTGCCACGCCGGCCTCCCGCCGTCCCTCGAACGGGGCGGGCTTGTGCAAAGGCCAGGCCCGCGACGTGTGTGGCCCGCCGACTAGTTCCCCCCCCCCCCCCCCCCCCCCGCCCCCGCGTTCTGGTGGTGTGGGGCGCTCCCCCGGTGGCGCGGGGAAGGGAGGCAGCTCTCGCGTGCGCCCCCCTCCCCCCCCCCCCCGGCCCCCGTTACTGCCCCGGCCGCCATCAGCGTGGGCTCTATATGTGTGCGCGTGTGGGGGTGCGGGCAGGGGGGGGGGGGCGGGGTACTGTCGTGCCTGCCCGGAAGTAGTGTCAGGCGCCTGATTGGCTGGACATCACGAAGGCCGATTTCTCCACCAAGCGCCCTGTGCGAGTCCCTGGCTGTGCATCCTCGCGCCCGCATGCGCACACGGCTCGGCACACTTCAGCACAAGTGCACAGGTATCCTCGCATGCACCGGCGGACGCCCGCGCCCGCGCGTCCAAGACACAGCCACACGCGCACGCACGCGCGTATGGCCGTTGCTTTCCGGGCGGCCCCCTGTGGCTCGACGCCCCGGCCCATTCCCGGCTGCCGCCGTAGCACAGGGGGGGCTCTCACGGGCGCCCTCTTTTGTGTATCTCGTCGCCCCGACTCCCCCCCCCCCCCCCCCCC